AGAGAATATACTATATAATTTCATTTACATGAAGTTTAAGAACAGGGAAAGTCATATATGATGAGGAGATAGAATTTAGAACAGTTGTTATTCCAGGCGGCATACTGAGTGGTAATAGTGGTGAGAGAGCCTTCTGAGGTGCTGGAAATGTGCTATGTCTTCATCTGAATCTGTTTTTATACACAGACACATACATGTGTATAAACAGAAATAAAAATACTTTTCAGATTGAATATAAAAGCCCTGCATTGTGTCAGCTGCTCTTCTCCTCCAGTCCCTTCCACCTGGGCATATATCTGAGCCTTGTGCTCTGACTCCTTTTTGGATGGGAGGTGTTGCATGGTCTCACGGCTAAGAGATCAGGGGAGGAAGACCTTCATGGTCTCTCATCCATGGCACCCATATTTCCATTGTCCCCTTCCGACACCTGCCATCCTGAGATACTCCTCAGAACTCAGAGGCAGGGAGACCAGCAGTACCAGTTCACATCCACCAGACTTAGAAGTCTGTGTAGGATACTTAGGTCATGAGCTTCTGATGACCAAAAAAAACCAAAAAACAAAAAACATGTTGTAGTGCACCGTGGCTGTGCTTAGCTTTCATTTTTGTAATACGACACCTGCCATCCTGAGATACTCCTCAGAACTCAGAGGCAGGGAGACCAGCAGTACCAGTTCACATCCATCAGACTTAGAAGTCTGTGTAGGATACTTAGGTCATGAGCTTCTGATGACCAAAAAAAACCCAAAAAACAAAAAACATGTTGTAGTGCACCGTGGCTGTGCTTAGCTTTCATTTTTGTAATACATTATATCAGTGACCCTCTTTTTGTTGCACAGTAATCAATAGATTTACCATAAAAGAAAGGAAACACACATTTAGAAGGAAAACAATATTCACAATGAAACTAAAATAAAATTAGGAAGGAATTTACTCTGGCGATAGAAGTCATTCACTAAGCACACATTCCTGACTGGTGACGAAGGCCATTTGGCTGAAGCTGCCTTTGATGTACAGTGAACCCATAGGGTTTGAATTGTTGCATTTCCTTTTTGGAGCAATGCACATGCCAGCTGAAAAGGGGCAAAGGGGCACCTGTCAAAGAATCTCCTGCCTCCCCACTCAACTTGACAGTCCTTGTATTTTAATGAGGTACCATTTTGCTTTTAACATGTAAAAAATACTTCTCTGCTATTCATCAATCTCTCTAAGACATGGCTATTATTTTTATTATAATTATCTTTATAAAAATCAGCCTTTAATATTCCCAGATATTTTAATACTATGTGTGAATTTCATTATTTCATAATGCGTGAAACCCATTATTTACCTGTTTACTTAGAGAAAAGAAGAATATGTGGGTAGGGAAATGGATAATGAATAAGAAAAAATTTTAAGATTGACTTCTTTGGTGGCATTGGCACCACTAGGATCCTGCTCAGCATACAGGTGCAGTACAGAACTGTGTGTGTGTGTGAGAGGGGTTACCACCCTCAAGGGAAGTCAACAGGATATGAAAGTTGATGGTAGACAATTCATATGAGTGTTCTGTATAACCCCGAGAAAGTCCCCAGACGGATCAGGCTCTGGTTGTCCACAAAGGTGACCTTCATAACAAACCCTTGCATTCCCTCTACTTCTTTCCCTGTTTCACTTTCCCCAGTTCCTCGCTGTTGAGCCATGTAAACATTTCCCCAATAAACTATCTACTCTGCTTTTCAGGGCAAACCAGGTTAAGACACAGGAACACAGGTTCCTTTCTAGTGTCTTAACTGCCTCCTAGAATCTTGCAGCCCTCTGCCAGATTCTCTGCATCGAACTAGTCAATGAGCAAAGAAGGTATGGAGGAGCACACAGAGATTATACGTAATAGGTGTGGAAGAGATGTGTGCCATTGGTCATTGCAGCCTATACTCCATTAGCTGGGACACAGCAACATGAGTCTGTGAAGCCACTAAATATGGGGAAGGCTGGGAGAAGCGCAAGGGAGAAACAGGAAAGAGATTTGAGCAGAGTGTTGCCTGTGCCACAAATTGTCATGAATCTTACATTTCTTCCCTCTCTTTGGGAATTTTAAACTATTGTTTTCAAGTTATTTTCACCAAGATCTATGCTCACTTATTTCAGGAAGATAAAGTTTATATTGTTGCCACAAATGAAATGTGATGTTATATGAAGGTTCTGTGAGAAATCTGTTCCAATTTTTTTCCAACTTACTATTCAATGCCATTTCTAAAATGTGAGAGAGGGATCTGTTCATTGGTCCTACCTCAAATGAGGGAATGGAATCACGATTAGATGCTGTCACTGCCAATCAACGAATAAATTATAAGAAAAAACCCCCAGAACACCTCCTTTGAAATACAGGCCATGAGGCCAGCAAAATTTTCTGGGTCTGCTCCCTGAAAAAAAAGGTCCAAATTTGCTCAGACACATTTAAAAAAAAAAAGGAAAAAAACATCTCACAAGCATGGGGGTGAAGCCAAAGTGGTAATTTTTTAAAAATTTTTACTTTTATTTTGGTGTTGTTTTGAGTAGAGAATAAAGGGGAAGTAAAATTATCCTCCTCCCCACCCCATGCCATGCCCCATGGGCTCTTAGACTCTTGAGAGCATAAAATTTCTGTTTCATTACTTCTCTTAAAAGAACCAAAATTAGATCCAAGCTAGAGTAAGGTTTTACTCTTGATTCTGGCAAGAACCAATTACAGGTTTGCCCCAGATAAGTGCAGTAGGATGAATTGCCAAGGCTCAGGAGCAGTAGAGCCAAGGTAAAGCAATCATTCACCTTTGAAGGTTTGGTTGCAGGTGCAGGATGGCAGCTTTATCACTTTTGTTCAGGTGAGGTAAGCGAAGACTTAAACTTAGTGTCACCTTACCATCTCTTTTCATGACCCCTCATTCTGGATCTTTGTGGATATGTCTCTTCTCTGTAAAATATAAGCACAAATTATTGAGTGCCTGCTATTTGCTAGGTATTTACATTATAGTATTTAATCCTCAAATGAAGAGTGAAAAGCAGGTTTCATTAACCCCATTTTAGATCTGAGGAACCTGAGGATCAGCATCATTAAGTGATTGGAGCTGTAGTTTACTGCCCTCTGTTCTGTATTTTTAACTTCTCTGAAAACATCCTTCATCTTGTCGCATTTCCCTGAGGACTCTATTTCCTCTGCAGCCATATCTCACATCCCATATATTCATGAGTCTGGAGTAGGATTGCTACATAAAATACAGGGCACTCTGTTAAATTTGAATTTCAGAAGAACAATGAATTTTTTTTTCTTGTGTAAGTACGTCTTTTGTGATATTTGCTATAAACATTGCCTGGGACATACTTACACTAAAAAGTTACCTGCAATTCAAATTTAACTGGCCTTCTGTATTTTTATTTGTGAAATCTGGCAACCTTAGGTGAGCTAAATGTTTTTCTGGTGACTTGTTATCCCTTCCATGCTATTTATCCTTCCTCAAAACCTCCAGCAACTTTGAAGCATATGCCTTCAGACTTCACCATCAACTACGCCTGCAACTCGATGAAGTTGTCTGTCATGCTTATGGTCACTCCTGCCAAATGATTGGTCATTCTAGCACCTGGCTCTGTTTCTTCCTCTCAGTGATTATTTTCATTACCACTTTGCAACTTTGAAGCATATGCCTTCAGACTTCACCATCAACTACGCCTGCAACTCGATGAAGTTGTCTGTCATGCTTATGGTCACTCCTGCCAAATTATTGGTCATTCTAGCACCTGGCTCTGTTTCTTCCTCTCAGTGATTATTTTCATTACCACTTTTCATGACTCCGATATCCACATAGACAATACTTTAATACCCTTGCTTCTGATTTCCTTTACCTTTTCACTTCAGAAGATTTTCCTTCATACCAATTAAATAAGGGGTAAGCATAGAGAATATGGAGATTTTTGTAGTATTAAGTAGGGTGATCAGGGAGACCTTACTGAGGAGGTGACACGTGCACAAACATCCTGAAGGAGGTGAGGAGCCCAGCTCTGTTGACACTGGAAAAATGTGATCGAGGAAGAGGAAACAGAAAGTGCAAAGGCCCTGAGGCAGAAGCCTTCCAGGCTGGTTTCAGAAAGTTTCTTGAGATTGGGGACTTATCCTTTATTTGAAGGTATTATTGATTGTTCTCAATAATATCTTGAGTTACAAAGGAGTAACTCATTTAATATGATGAGTCATAGAAGAGAACAATAAATTCTTGATTAATAAATGAATGAGAGGGTGCACCAAATATATTATTAAATGTATTTGGAAAGCAATTCCTGCCCTATAATAACTTGTAATCAAATGGCAAAATTTAGAGTTCTGAACAATACATAAAATCTTAAATTAAACAAGGAATTATTGTTATTAATATGTACAACTAGTAAAGTGCATTTTGAGAAATTTAATTTGAAGAACACTGCAAAAGTCTTATATGGGCTTGATATGCAGAATATTTTCCTGAGGGCTTTACATTCTTCTCATTGTAATCAGTTGGGCTTTCAAATATCCTGTACTTAAATAACATGTTAACCTCATGTCTTCTCCCCTAAAGGCCACATTTCTGTAGTTTTTCATGCTTTTTATTCTCTTGCTTTCAGTCCGTTAAGAATCTTGAGGAATGGAGGTAACAAAAGAAGTGCCAAGAACAGAGTCTGACACAGAGCAGATATTGAGTAAATTTCTGTTGAAGGAGTTCAGTTTACGAATGAATGAATGAATGAATGAACGAAACACATGGAGGAAAGTGGCTTCTCTAAGGTACCCAGATTTGAGCCATATTTTCAATTTTGCTTAATAGTTTCTGGAATATCATAGAGAGTGAGAACAAAGAAAAATGACTAACAGTGAACATCACGATGAGGTGACGCTAACTCAGAGGCTCATTTGTCCACACTCGGCTCCCGTAGTGTTTCCGTCTTTAAGTCTTTTACGCGCTGCGGCCGGTAGTGACGTCACAAGATTGGGCGCTCGCGGGAAGACTTGTCTCCGCGTCCAGCGGGAGGGCGCGCGCGCGCGGGACTTTCAAGCGTCGGACCCGGGGAACTCGAGCTGCCATGAGCCTCTGGGTGGACAAATACCGGCCGTGCTCCTTGGCACGGCTGGACTATCACAAGGAGCAGGCGACCCAGCTGCGTAACCTGGTGAGTGGGCTGGGGCTGCGGGAGGGGGGCGGGGAGGCCCGCGGCTCGGGGGTTTCGCGCTCCTGAGGAGCAGTGCATCGTCCGCCCTCCTCAGAAGGTGAGAAATGCTGTGGAAAAAGTAAAACAGGGAAGGGCGAAGGAGTGCCGGGGCGGGCGTTGTACTTTCCAACAGGGAAAGCTTCACCGAGAAGTTTCTTCGGAGCCAAGACTTGAAGTGATGAGGTCACGAACACAGAATTCTGAGCAAAGGTTGGAACAGGTAGAGGGAACGGCGAGTGCAAAACCCTCGGCGTAGAAGTGTGCACAGCGTGTTCTGGAAAATCCTCGGCGTAGAAGTGTGCACAGCGTGTTCTGGAAAATCCTCGGCGTAGAAGTGTGCACAGCGTGTTCTGGAAAATCCTCGGCGTAGAAGTGTGCACAGCGTGTTCTGGAAAATCCTCGGCGTAGAAGTGTGCACAGCGTGTTCTGGAAAATCCTCGGCGTAGAAGTGTGCACAGCGTGTTCTGGAAAATCCTCGGCGTAGAAGTGTGCACAGCGTGTTCTGCTCACCGCAGAAAGGCCAGTGTGGCTGGGTCATAGTGAGCCCCGGGAAGAGTAACAGGGGACGGGAGGTGTGTGTGTTGGGGACCGCTACTGGTGCGTATCCATTAAATCCCTGTGGAGTGAGATTGGAAGACATTGGAGGATTCTGAGCAGAGAAATGACATCATCTAACCTACTTTTTAACAGGCTTACTTAAAATTTTTTGTGTCATTGACCTCATTTACAAGGAAGGTGTTCGGTTTATTAACTCATAAGGTCATTGCAGATTCTCAAATGTGTTATATTAGGGCGTCCTTGAGTTTCCCCCCACCTTGATGCCTGTTTTTATTTTGTAGTTGATAAAAATCTCTAATAGCAGTGTTTTGTGAAAAGCAAACTGAATCTTGAAGGGAGTGGACAGGGAAGAAGGATCTTGGAATAAGTTGTTCAGCGTAGAAACCATTTATCCACTTCTCTGGCATGATGCTGATGGAAATGTTTTTGCTCACCACTCTGGTCTTCTGATACCGACCTTTTTCATAATTACTGATACTATTTAATTCTTAGGTACTTTTAAAATGAGAAATAATGGAAGAGGATTTTATATATATATATATATATATATATATATGAAAGTCACTGGAAAAGTTGACTGGTGTGAGATGAAGTTTTTTTTTTTTTCCCCTCTAATTATAGATATTGCATCTGATTTAAAATAAATCTATTACAGCATTATACTTCATTTATACACAAATTGCATTTTCTGACAATAGCTTTGACTTCAGTTTTCCTAGCCATAGAACATTTTATTTTATTTTCTGCAGCCACTTTTTGTTGTACAGAATCTGTAATATATATTTTGGACAACAGTTAATATACTGGTCTTATGTATTAATAAATTTGCTTTGAAAAATATTTTTCTGTTTACTGTCAAATCAACAACTTAATAAAACTATGAAATATTTAAAACATAATCTTTATTTTTGGTTAGATGGAAGTTTAAAAAACAAAGGCAGCAAGTATTTGTGGAGCATCTACTGTTTTCCAGGTACTATGTTAGGTGAATAGTTCCCTTCCTTGAGACTTTTCTTTTTCAGAGCCAGAGACAGATGAATTTACAAGGTATTAAAATTCTCTCTAATAAGCTCCTGTGTTAAGATACTTATTTTACTTTGCCTGTAGCGGTTATTTACAAAACTTTTGCCTCACAAGATTTTATGCACCCAAGGTTAAGGTCTGTGTCCCAGTTATCTTTATATAGCCTCCATACCTCTAATTCCCAAACCTGATTGATCCCTAGAATCCCTTGGGAAGCTTTTTAAAAACATTTTGTCTCGCATCAGTGCTCTATCCAGTCCCCTTGCTCTGCACAGAGTCTTCCACCTTCCTACATCTGTACTTTGCCTGAGGGCTTTTCTCCTGTTGGCATCCCAAGCAGACTTGAAATGCCCGGGAATTAATGCCCTCTCTTTCACCCCAGGATTCAACAAAGGGCTGTTGAGAGAGACTGTATCATAATCCAATTTCCCCTCCCCTTGGTGGGTTAACAGTGTGGAATGTGTTATGCTGGCTTTGTCAGTTTCCCCAGCAGGATCAAACTCAGATGCCTAGAATGGTATTTAACTTGCTAACACATTCTTGTTACTGCCTTCCTTTCCTTGTTTGCATCCCTGCTATCCTATGAAGTTTTCCTTTACCTCCCAAGTAAACTAAATCCCTCAATTCTTATCACAGGGATTGTTTCTAGGAGCCCATACTAAAGCAAGCATCAATCTCAGAGTTACCGAATCTTAATCTCATGGATGATAGGGTCCAGTAATCAATCAGTCTATTTTAAAAGTTCTTTAGGAGGTTCTGACAATCAGCCAGGTTTGGGAGTTCCTGCTTTCTAGCATTTGGTGTTTTACCTTGCATATACTATACTATGTATGTAAGTTATATAAAATTGGTGCCAGGGGACTAAAAAAACATTTCAAAGCTTATTAAAAAATATAAATATGTGTATTTGAATTAGGAGTTTCATAGGTAGACACATAAAATATTAAAAAGTAGTTGGTTCTGCCCAGAGCAGTTCAGTTTGACTAGGGAAAAACGCCTTGTTCTTTTTTTCCAGGTGCAGTGTGGTGATTTTCCTCACCTGTTAGTGTATGGACCATCAGGTGCTGGAAAAAAAACAAGAATTATGTGTATTTTACGTGAACTTTATGGTGTTGGAGTGGAAAAATTGAGAATTGAACATCAGACTATCACGGTAAGCATTTCACTTTGAGGCCCAAGTATTTATAGCAGGGATTTTCAATCCTGGTCATGTATGCATCCTCCTCATTCTCTGCCTAATATAAAATTTAAGTAAGAATTTCACAGGTAATCCTGGTTCACAGAAATGAGAGCTACTGACTTATAGACCTAACTGTTATAACCAGACTAAGGTCCTTTATGTCAGAGATGAAATATGAGCAGCAGGAGGTTTTGGGTAAAATGTAGAGGGCAAACTCATTTCAGGTTACCTAGTATGACAATGTCTGAGCTGGAACTAGATAAGTTTCTAAAAGTTCATTTTTCTGAGAGCAATAGTGAAGGTGGAAAGAAGGAAATGATTTTGAGCAAATTTTTTAATGTGGAAACAAGCAACTTGGAAAAGGTTGGGCAACTGACTGGGGGAGGTGGCAAGAGGCTCTGGGATGTTGAAAAGCTTCTCAGCCTCATACTATTCAGTGCGTTTTTATGGATGATGTTTAAGATCTAGCTGAAATATTCTTCTCTCTAGATGCCTCCTCCCACCCCATTAGAATTAATTTGTCTTCTATAGCCTATAGTTTATATTTTTTATAGTACATATTTTATTTTGCCTTTATTGTAGTTGTTTATACATCTTTTACTTTGACAAGATTGTATTTGCTTTTAAGTTATGTAGAGAACATGTCATTCATTTCCACATCCTTCATAGCCCCTGGTAGAATGTCTTATATGTATTAGGCAATGAAAAAAAAAATTCTATGTATGCTAAGTGTGAATGGTAGTGCTATTAAAGATTCTTCAGGAGGATAAATGGTTTTAGGCTAATGTTTATTAGCTTATGTTTAGACACATTGAGTTTGAAGTGATGGTGGTATATTGTGGTGAAAATTCTTATATAATATATAGGGACAAATTTAACAAGAAAGATATAGGATCTTTAGGAAGAAAACTGTAAAGATAGAGGACAAAAAGTAAGAGCTGATCAGATGGAAAGATGCAACATGTTCTCACATGGAAGTTTTAATATTTAAAAATGTCTCTTCTCCCCAAGTTACAGCATAAATTTCAATGAAATTCCAGTTAAAATCCAAGTGATTTTTTTAATTGTATGAAATCATCTTAAAGTCCATACGGAGAAAGGCAAGTACATTTCTGAGACTAGCTAATTATGAAAAAGAAGGTTAGTGAAGTGGGGTTCTTTTACCAGATAGTAAATTATATTGTAAGGCTAAAACAATATTATATTGGATATGGGAATAAAGAATTAGACCAGAGGAATTGAATAGAAAGCCCAGAAATATGATGGAGGGTCTATTTCAAATAATTGGAAAAGGATGAGCTAGTAAAATGTGCCAGCATAACTAGTTATCTATACAGAGGAAAACAAAGTTGAATCTCCATGACATGCACTTTATAAAGATAAATTCCAGGTGAATTAAAGACTTCAATGTTAATATGAAATGCTAAATCTTAGAATAAAATTTCTTAGATTATGTGACTTGCCAGTGGGTCAAGAACACCTTTTAGTGGAAAACATGGAAACTATAGAAGAAAAAAAGATAAATACTTGGATATATATGATTTTTAAAAGTTTGACTAATGCTAATATACATAAAATCAATAGAAAAATGAAAGATTGTCACCATATATTTGAAATGAATATGTTAGATAAAAGATTTTATAAATATGACAGAAAGACAGTGTGGTAGAAACTAAGTAACAGATAGTAACAGGAGAGAAATATAAGTGGCCAATAAAGATGTTTGATCTTTGTGATAGTTAAGCAGTATGTGTATTATATGTTCACTATATTGGCAAAATTGAAAGGCATCATAAAACCTACTTTAGATAGGGAATGTTGGGGAAGAGAATTTGTTCCTTGCTGGTGGAAAAGTGAGTTGTTAGAATTTTTTGGAAAGCAGATTGGTCTATTCATACACATATACATATGTACATGTATTATATTAAAGTTTAGAAAACATATCCCCTTCCATCCAGCAAATCCTTTACTGGGATCTCTTACATAGAAATGAAAGCAATATGTGAGACATATGTACAAGGATATTAACTGGGGAATCATTTGGCAAAAAGCAAAAGCCAAAATGCCCATCAGTATGACTAGCTTCAGAACATCTATACTGTAGGTTGTTTTACAAGTATAACACTATACCAGTTGTCTGAGAGGTCGATTGCCAAAATATATTAAGTAGGAAAAGGAAAAGACAGTGATATGTCTTTATATGACTTTATAAAGAATAAGTCTTTATAGATGACTTCCTCTTTTTATATTTTTATCTTTTACAAGAAACATTGACACTATATAAATATATTTGTGTGTGTTTATTTTTGTATTAACATGGAAAAGGCTGGGTAAGGATATATGTAGATTGTTTACAATGATGATCTAGATGGTTTGGGGATTCCTGAAGATAAGGAAAAGAAAAAATTAATCACAATAAAAACAGGATTATGATATGACCCAATTTGTATAAAAATGTGTTTATCTGCACATTAATATGGGGTTAATGAAGTTAAAAAATTAATGGTGGGTATCTCAAGTTTTTTTTTTTTTTTTTTTAGTAAGCATAAGTTGTTTATATAGTAAAAGAAAAATGAAAATACAAAAAAAGAAATAGGCAATAAATACATGTTTAAAAAACAATCTTTTTTTTTTGTCCACAGACTCCATCTAAAAAAAAAATTGAAATGAGCACCATTGCCAGTAATTACCACCTTGAAGTTAATCCCAGGTAAATTGCTACTATAAAAAATAAGCATTTTTAGAAAAATGGTTTTCATACTATATTAGTCCATTTCTGTTGCTTGTAACAAAATTCATGGAATTAGGCTAGGCAGTTTATAAAGAAAAACAAAATTTATTGCTTATGGTTTCTGAGGCTGGGAAGTCCAAAGTCCATCTGGTGATGGCAACAGTGACACAGGGGTCTCACATTGCAAAATGGTGGAAGCAGAGAGAGAGCAAGAGAGAGAGAGAGATAGACTCTCCTCTCTTTTCTTTTAAAACCCTCAGAACCATGCCCCTGACCACCATTTTTAATCCATTCACTATGGCATGGTTCTGCAGTCTAATCACCTCTTCAAGGCTCCATCTTTCAATTACCATAATAGGATTTCCCACCCTCTTAACAGTTACAGTGGGGGCCAAGTTTCTAATACATAAAACATGGGGGACACAATTCAAGCTCCAGTAAGTTTTGGGTAGACATAATTCAATCCACTATGTTCCACCCTGGCCTCCCAAAACTCATGTACTTTTCAGATGCAAATACATTCATTTCATCCCCAAAGTCTTAACTTTTTGGACTTTTTTCAAAAGTCCAAAGTTCAAAGCCCCATCTGTGAAATAAAAACAAGTTATCTATTTTCAAGGTAAAATGGTGGGACAAGCATGAGGTACATATTCCTATTCAAAAAGGGAGAAATAGGCTGAATGAAAGGGGTAACAGGTCCTGAATAAGTCCAAAACCCAGCAGGGCAGGCATCATTCAGTTTCAAAGTTGATGAATCATGTAACTTGACTCCATGTTTAATGTCTTGTGCACACTGGTGTGAGGGTTGGGCTCCCAAGTCCTCAAGCCGCTCCACTTCTATGGCTTTCCTGGTCTCAGGCGATGCTTCAGCTGTTGTAGGCTGGTGTTGCATGCTGGTAGCTTTAGAAGTCTGGGGTCTCCATGGTGGTCTCACTCTCACGGCTCTACTGAGCATGGTGCTGATGGGTTTCTCTGCTCCAACTCTGACCCCACACATTTCCTCTTGGCATCTCTCTAGTTGTTACCAAACTCAGGTCTGTCTTGAGAAGAAAACAAAAAACTCAGAAGTCAAATGGTTGGTGTTAGAAAAGCAGATGTATTCAGCTGAAGGAGATGGTAGGCTATCCCATCTCAAAGACTTAGATTTACGGAGGGGTTTTTAAAGGAGGGATTGAAGGAATGGAATGTGGGAGATGAAAAGCAGGAGAGAAGGAGATGTGAGTTAAGAGAGTCCGTGTCTATGGGTCAGGTACAAGGTCTTGCCAAATCCTCCTCTGGTTTCTGTTCTAGTCTTTGCTGTTATCTCAGGACCCTGCAAGATTTTGATTTGCGTGGGTGTACTTGGCTGGTGCCCAAGGTCAGTTTCCAGTCATTTGGCCTTGATCATTTCTCAAAACTCTGCAAGTCTCAAAGAACTGTTAGCTTTGCGAAGTACTAATTAGCTTCTCTGCCTTGTTTTCCTACTTAGCAAGCAAGATAAGAAAGTTGGGATGGGAAGAAAGAGTGGAGAGAAAACTGTCCTTTTTAAAATCGCCCCTCCTCCTCAGCCCAGGCAGTTTTAGGTCCCAACATGGCTTCAGTCTTGCTCACTCCAACATAGTAAAGACGCTATGTGGAGAATATGCTGCTGTGACAGATCTCTTTTCGGATCCCCAGCCTTTTCCATACACCCTTTAAAATCGGGCTGGAGGCTGCCATGCTTTCATAGCTCTGGCATTCTGCTAGCCTGCAGACCTAATACCACATGAATACCAACAAGGCTTCTGACTTGTATTTTTCAAAGCTGCAGCTTCAGCTGTGCCTGGGGCCAATTTAGCCAAGGCTGGAATAGCAGGGATGCAGGAAGAAGCATCCCGAGAAGGCCCTGGGCAGTGAGCTTGTGGAAGGCTCATCATGCCTGATCCTCAAGACCATTCTGTCTCCCTAGGCCTCTGGGCCTGAAATGGAAGGGTTGGCCCCAAGAGACTTCTGCAATGCTTTTAGAGCCTTTTCCCTCTTCTCTTGATAATCCTTTTTTGTACTAATCTTTTTAGCACCATTGCATTTTTCTTCTGAAAATGCTCTGTTTCTGTACCACATATGGACAGGCTGCAAATTTTCCAAATACTCTCTGCTTCCCTTTTAAGTTCTGGCTTTATGTCATGCATTTGCTGCGGTAACTTGGCATAGTTAACAAGCCATGCAGCTTCCTTAATGCTTTGCTGCTAAGGAATTTCTTCTGCCAAATACTCTGGTTCACAACACTTAAGTTCCAACTTCCACAAAGTCCAGTGTAGCCAAGTTCCTTGCTAGTTCATAGCAAGGTTGATCTTTGCCCCAGTTGCCAGAAAGCTTTTTCCTGTTTCTATCTGAAATCTTCTTACAATGGTTTTTACTATCCATATTTCTATAAGCATTCTTCTGGTCACCACCATTTAACCAGTCTCTAAAACATTCCAAACTTTCCCTGGTTTTCTTCTAAACTCCCACCAGCAGCTAGGCTTTTCCTAGCCTGCTTCTTCAAATTCTTCCAGCTTTTCTTCGACACACAGTTCCAAAGCCACTTCCACATTTTCAAGTATTTGTTACAAGCAACACCCCTCTTCTCTGGTACCTATTATCTGTTAGTCTGTTTCTGTTGCTTATAACAAAATATGTGGAACTGGGTGACTTATAAAGAAAAACAAAATTTATTGTGTACAGTTTATGAGGCTGGGAAATTGAAAGTCCATCTGATGGTGGCAACAGTGACACAGGGGTCTCACATTGCAAGATGGTGGAAGCCAAGAGAGCAAGAGAGAGAGAGACAGACTCTGTGTCTTCTTTTAAAACCCTCAGAACCATGTCCCTGACCACCATTTTTAATCTGTTCACTCTGGCGTGGTTCTATAATCCAATCACATTTTCAAGGCTCTGCCTTTCAGTTACCATAATAGGATTTCCCACCTGAACAGTCACAGTAGGGCCCACGTTTCTAATGCATAAAACTTGGGGGACACATTTCAAGCGTCAGTGAGTTTGGGGGACATAATTCAATCTACTACATACCTTTTTTTTTTTTTTTAAGAACCCTTTCTTGAAGGAGAATTATGTGTATGGAAGCACAATAAATAAAACAGATTAAGATGAAGCTGCCCTGCTTGAAATGGAAGCCTAGAGCCTTTTTTTTTTTTTTTTTTTTTTTTTTTTTTTTTTT